CACAAATTATACCGACATCAAATACAGTGAAAGCAGGGGTTATACTGTTGGGGAGGGACATACAAAGCAACAAAGAAATAATCTTATAAATGCGTTAAGCCTGCGTATTTTTAAATGGTGCTCTGCACACCTTGTTTAAAACTTGTCTTCTCTTCAATGTGTGATGTATTTAAGTATTAAATAATTAAAATAAGAAATTGCAAACATGCACCCTTTTTCAAATATCTTTGCTTTTCACTTTTTATATACATTTTTATATTACTGTTAAGAAGTACGAAGGAGTTGCCATTTAACAAAGAAGTTTGTGAATACAGTGCATCGTAATCAGTGGCACCCCTTTCAACATTCTCTCCCATCCTTTCCAGTTCACTCCTCCCCTCACTTTTTAAATTTTGTGTATATCCACTTTCTTTTTATTCAACTATGGTGGCTATCTGAAATTCCTCTGAATGGTATGCCAGGTCTTAAATTGGCATGTATTAATTAGAATATTCTTGCTCTGATGGTTTTATTTTTATATTTCAGCCCTGGTACCTGACAGTGTAAAGAAGGAACTCCTACAAAGAATAAGAACATTCCTTGCTCAGCATGCCAGTCTTTAAGGTTTAATTAGATTGTGTTGTTCTGTGGTTTTATGTCTGAAAACTTGCCATAAATTAGAACTCAGTCTCCCAAAACAAAATCCTTTTTTGTATGATGGTATACAGTTTTCAGTAATGATGTATACATTGTATTGATTTTTTTCCCTAAATGTGTTATTTTAATAAATATCTCATGAATAAGTTTGAAGTTTGCTTGGATTTTGGAATAAATGGGACTCTGTCTTTATTACTAATTCACTGGATTGTTGAGAGAAACAATGAGCAATTAATATAAGTATTTAGTATGTGCAATTATCTGTGCTAACAGCAGGAGGTAACAGCCTTTCCTGATTGTCTACATATGGTGTATTCCTCTTGTGAATCCCCATTCTATTTTATAAATTGTAATATCCCATCTTGTACTATGGTATTATTTTTTCATATTTGTTACAAACTCTGAGGGTTAGGACTGGGTTTTACTCATCTTTCTGTGCCTTCCTTATGCTTCAAAGAATTTGCCATCTAGTAGAAGAGAGAACATTTGCAAGCTGACTGCCCACCAAGCTCCTCTCACAATACTCTACTCATCTGAACTTTGAAAGCAGAATCTGTAAATTGCATCCCCACATACTAAGGTCAAGAAAGAACTCACTGGGAATTAATCTTCATCCATTAGCTTTACTATGCCATCAGGATTGCTAAATCCAATGGACTCTGTCTGTTCTTATGTGACCTCTGCTGCAAAGTGAGAATGTTGACTATCCTGCCACTTGGAACTCTCACCCCAGTCCTCATATTGTTTCTTCCTACCAAAGGAAGTTCCTTCTGTTTCTTGTGGAATACCAATACCTGTTACTGTATGTGACTTTTAAGTAATAATGTTTTTAGGGCTCTCTTCTGAGTTCTCTGCCTGACTTAACTGGATGTACTTTCCCTGGGCACATCCAGGAAATGGGTCAGACCATGGTTTCAAATACCAACAGGTTGATAAATGCTAACCTCTGTGTCTAAGCAAGACTTATTTCTAGCCTCAACTGTATGTACTCATTTGTGGATCAGCTTCCATAGATAATCCACAAACACCTCAAATTGACTGTAACTAAAATAGTGATTATATTCTTCCCTAGTAATCACCTCTGCTGTCTTTCTCTGAATAGTACCTCTTAGACATACAGATTTCCCAAGACACTTCTGAAATGCTGTTTCTGAAGGTAAGAGATAATGGCACAAGATCCTGTAATTCTGAAGACAGTCTAGTTTATGTGTGTGCTGCTGCTGATAGAGGACTGTTTTGAGAATAGCAAGGCTGTAAATTGTCTCCCCTTAACTAGTCCAGATGATTTCTGTAGCCTCCTAATATTTCCTTGCTCTAATTGTGTGCCTCTTCTGGTATTGCTTCCACACTGTTGCCTGTATGGCCTTACTAAAATTCAAGTGTGAGCATTTTATTCCTTACTTGAAATACATCAGTGTAGGATAAAATTCTGTGTTTATGTAATGCTTAGACCTAAAAGTAACTACTTATTGCTCTGGTCCCAAGGTACCTAGTTGTTCCATCCGTTAATATTTTTGAGAACCCGTCAACGTGGAGAGGCCTTCCCTCTTCTACTTACCCTGAAACTGAATTGTCAAGACATTCTGAAACTCCTGCGATTTAGATTCCCCACTGGTAATCCATTTTTTATTTTATATTTCTATGTTTGAGTAGTTCTACAAAGGGGTTGCCATTTGACATGCTGTTGATTTATAAGTACAATGCAACCCCTGCTCTTTTTTTTCTATAAGAAACAACTCAGCTGTGCATTTGTCTTTATAATAGTTCTTGAACTATTATATGCATTTCCTGGAAAGGAGGAAAAGACTTTCTGTTTGATGCCTATTTCTGAATGAACAAGAAAGGGAAGAGTTAAGTGAAAGACACGTAGGACATGAGAACAGGTAGCAATAAATGGGATTTAATTGAGGGACAGTTTCATATTAATTTTTGGTTTACTATTTCACAAACATGGCAGGACAAACTGGGATTATGCTATGTTTTGAGCCCACGACGCACACACACATAATCAAAAAATCCTACCCAGAAGTATTTTTGTTTCATAAAGCAGTGTTAATATATGATATGGTACGTAGTTCCCATTATTAAAAAGGAAAGCATCTTAAATGTCAGAAATAATAGGCCTTTCTATGAGTATATATTATACAAGAGGGTTTCACTGCAATATCTCCACACGTAACTGTAATAATCTATTTCTACACTTACCTTCCTGCCCCTTTTAACAGATTTCATTATTAGAATTAATAGTTCTTATTTCATAATTCTGTATATGGAAACAAGCCAAAGTTTTTCTGTCCCTCTTAATAGCCCAAAAGATATATGAAAATGAAAACATGTTAGGATACTTTTGAAATAGAAAAACAATAGCTAAATGAAAATACTTCATAGCAATTTAGTATTAAAGAGCATAAACTTAAAGTGGTCATGTTGAGACCTCTTCCATCTCCACTTTGAGGTTTCTGTGACATCCTAGAAATAGTTTGTAGTTTGCATCTAGAACCATTAATTCCTTGAAAATAAATCAACTTCTTCAGAACATCTTGACTCTTAATCATTGACTTAATTGAACTATGAATATAGTCTTTAACAATTGCACCCATTCACACTCAGAAGTGGACACTGAATACAGTTACATGACTGTACTGTGTGGGTATAATTAGGATCAGTATAAGCTTCTCATAGGATTAAAGAACGCTCTGCTAAATTATTCATGTAATCACTTTGCTCTGGCAGTACAAGTATCATTTGGTTGAACAGTGCCAAACCAGGGACTGGGTGATGCTAGGGATTAGTAATTGGATATGGGACTTTTCATAACTTGATTAAAAAAATGAGAGACCTGTGACAGCTGCTCTGTAGGCCATGTTGGCAATGAGCCTCTGTGTGTGTGTGAGAGAGAGAGAGAGAGAGAGAGACCCTTGTGAAAGGATCCTCCATGTTAGTGACTTCATAAAATCCTTAATGTTTACCATTAGAAATCAAAGAAAAGCCACTGGGTCATTCTACCAAGAAAACTTAATTACAGTCACATTATTGGGGTTCTAATCTCCTCAATGATGCTGAATTAACAGGTAGGACTGACTCTACCTCAAGTTTCCATATCTAGAGAGTAGATCTGATATTGCAGACCTGGCAGGAATTTAAAAAGCCTTAAATACTAATAGAATAATCATAAAAGAAAGTTAACTGGATTTACGTTAGCCTAACAAGAACTCAGTCTGCATGTGTTTTCTAATTTTCTATGAATATAGGAATTATTCTTAGGTGGAAATAGCTGCTTTTATTTCTTAAAAGAATCTAGTTAGTAGTTGCCATGAAAAACCTACAAAAATAAAGATGACAGCTAACTTCATAGAAATAACACTATAATAGCACTTATCAGGAAGGGTTGAAGCTATTTGTAGTCACTTTTCCCTTCATTCATCAATGACATGAATTATATCCCATTTGTCTTTTAGTTATCAATGCCTTAAAGCTTCTGAATAAATTATCTTAAGTAAATAGAAATAAAAATGACTGGCCAATAAGTTTGGATGCACCTGTTTATTCTGCATTTGAAATTACATTTGGCTATTCCATTGATCAGCCACTAGAGAGCACTTGGAGCCTGTGTATTGGTCCTCTATGGAGCTCATTGTAACGGATCCAGTTCCAATTTAGGCCAGCCAGCTTTTTCAAGGTTGAAAGTGTTACTGAATTAAACCTAATGTGAGTACTTAAGAAAATGACGTTGGTCTAATGTAACTTGAAGCTACACACAGGTGTAGATATTGTTGAGCTTGGGATCATTTTGTGAAGCCAATTCAGTAATTCAGAAAGGATGTTGATTTAAATACCATAGACTGTGCCTTAAATAGTTCTAGTTCACCTATTTTCTGGGACTAGATATCTTGTTTGTTTCTCACAGTGCTGGGAATCAAATATCAAACAAGGTTTCTTATGTGCCTGCAAGCACTGTACCACTGCACTACATCCCAGCCTTAAGAGAGTTTAACAAATGAAAGAAAAATCATTTTCAGAGTTCAAGAACATAATACTTGTTTTTTTTTAAAAAAAATCTTATATCACTTCCTGAAAGTATAAATAGAGCACATATAGTCTCCAATTCATGTGAATGCTCAAAGAATGGCTCACGGTGGAGGCCCATATCAAGCATTGAAATAGAAACAGCAATAAGAGACCTCCCAACCAAGAAAACAGGACCAGATGGATTTACAGCGGAATTCTACAAGGCCTTCAAAGCAGAGCTCACACCAATACTCCTCCAACTCTTCAATGAAATTGAAAGAGAAAGTTCACTACCAAACTCATTCTATGAAGCCATCATAACCCTCATCCCAAAACCAGGCAGGGACTCGTCAAAGAAAGAGAACTATAGAACCATTTCTTTGATGAACATTGATGCAAAACTTCTTAACAACATTTTGGCCAATAGACTTCAACAATTCATCCAAAAAATCATATACCACGATCAAACAGGATTCACTTCAGGCATGCAAAGGTGGTTGAACATATGCAAATCAATTAATTCATCACATCAACAAGAGCAAGGATAAGAACCACATTGTTATCTTAATAGATGAGGAAAAAGCATTTGACAAGATCCCACACCCTTTTATGATGATGGCTCTGGAAAAACTAGGAATCCAGGGAACATTCCTCAATACAATAAAGGCTGTATATGACAAACCTACAGCCAGCATTATACTTAATGGTGAAAAACTAAAGCCATTTCCTCTAAACTCAGGAATGAGACAAGGATGTCCACTCTTCGCACTTCTCTTCAATTTAGTATTAGAATGCCTAGCTACAGCAATAAGACAAGATGCAAACATAAAAGGGATTCAAATAGGGAAAGATGTAGTAAAACTCTCCCTCTTTGCCGAGGACATGATCTTGTATTTAAATAATCCCACAGGCAAAATAGCAGGTATAAAATTAACCCTCAAAAATCAATGGCTTTTCTGTATGCCAACAATGAGAAGAGCGTGGCTGAAATCGGGAAAGCGACTGACAACAGTTTTAAAAAAAATCAAACATACTAAAAACCAAATCCATTGAAACTGCTGTGTTGCTCCTACAGTAGTGGTAAATACAGAGTTGATTCTATGCTTTCTCACATTCAGAAATGTTTCTATTTTGTGCCTGGAATTATCAGAAGTAAATGATGACAAATTTCTGTCAGTCGCCTTATGCCTTCTTACCCTAAAATTTTTTACTGAAGGCATATCCTTCAAGAATTTATGCTTTCCAGATGGATATTTATGTCAAACTTGAGTTTCATGCAAAATAGGATACTTGAAATAGAAATGTCCACTAGTCCCTAGTCTGTCTGCTGGGCAGGTAATGTAATTAAGTATGTGGTATGTTTTGAGGCACATTCTGTCCAGCTCAGACAATGAAAGCATAAGAATGCTGTTTCTCAGTTCTGCCATTTATGTGCTTAATAACTTTTTATTAGTCACTTAAGGGTTCCAGCTGTTAATTGGCCTACCCAATTCCTGTCCTGTTTTGGTAGGGACTCTGATACTTAGGAAAATGTGGGTGTTCCTCTAAGAAGAACTGACATAAAGTCAAATTTATGGTTAAGGACTTAGTAAATCAATATATATATATATATATATATATATATATAGTTTCACTGTTCACCTAGCAATGGTATTCATAAAACAGTTTTGTGTACAGGATTGATCTTCCATATTTTACCCCGTCCTTAAAAAAACAACTAGGTTTTCAGGCAGACATTGTAACAGCTCACTTAATAGCTGTGTTTCTTATGTTACTTATTTGAATACTATTTGATGCTGATTTTATATAGACAGTAAAATAATTGCATTCTCTACCAACATTGCCCTTTCCTCACTTCCCTTCTTACCAGCTAAATTATAATTACGCTTCATGTCCATTTCTCTTTTTTCCGCAGCACGTACAGTCCTGCTTGAT